AGTGTCGGCAAACGACCACACTTTCCTCGCCCACCACTACCGTCGACCCTCCCTCGCCCTACCACTGACACCCCCAAAAGCGCGGGTGGGTGGGTGAGAAAGGAAAAGATCTCCGAAATATCTCTTGGCTGCAGCAACCTCACGCTATCTTGTTTGTTTGGGACAGACCAGCAAGTGCACCCATGTCTACTCTTCTCGTCAGATTTCAGACAATTCACGCTGACTTCATGCTGCTGCTCGCTGATTGGCCAACTACTATTATTTCACCTTCCGCTCCTTACAAAACTCAGATTTCAACGCCTCTGTCTCTGCAATCTTCTGCTTTGATCGTTGCTTTCGAACATTGGATTATCGGTCGTACCCCCCCACGCTTGACCAGGGGGGGGAGAGAAGAGTGGAACACGGGGATAGCACACCTCTCCCCGTTCCACAACACCATCAGCATAAACCAGTCAAAGCACCATCAGGCATACTCTCAAAGCAATGAGTGCACCCGATCCTCCTCACATTTTCTCCCCCCTTTCCGTGGTTCACCTCGGTATCTACCAACCCACCCCATCCCAAGCACCTCTATGGCATCCCTTCACCGGCGCTCGGGACAACATCTCCCCATTCTGTGCCCTGTCCCGGTTGCCTCACCACATCACCCTCAGACGCTAGTGTACTTGAATTGAAAACCACTCTGCATCCTTCCCATGGTTCCTTACATACGGCCGATACCTCGTTTCCCCAGCCCATCTCCCTTCTCGTCGCACAACGTCTGGCGACGCTCTCCCCGCTGCCAAGTACGTGGCGCCCCCAACCCGAAGGGAATGCAACGCGTACTCCGACGCCGGCAGACCCGCCAACGACAGAACTTGCCGCAGCGCCTCCGTCGCATGACGCCGGGTCCACGAGGACCACCGCCCCTCCCCGGCACCAAACGCGACCAACCGGGCAGACGAGGGAAAAGGAGGGTAGCATGACAGGAGTACAATCATCACATCTACTGCACCCCCCCCGTACTCAACAGGTTGGGGAGGCCCCTGCCTCGCCCGTGTACACGCGGCACCTCTCCGAACTGGAAATTTTTCGCCTTTCGACGACCGACAAAAGGGGCTGCGATACTTCCACATCGCCCACACACCAGGAAGTCCATGAAGGGCACGCGTCCGATTCTCACGCACACGACAACCGGTAACCCAGCCTCTCGGAGCACATCTCACGCATGGCCCACCTCAGGTCCACGTCGGGACTATCATGGATGGTGGGTGGTTTCCTCTACCACGCCGAGCTCGACCCAGCGTCTTGGAGCACAGCTCGCGCATGGCCGAACTGGGCTCCCCATTCTGCAATGCAATTTCAGGGTAAGCAGTACTGAAGAACGGTTAGCGTGAACGTTACAACGGTCTCCACAACAGAGACCGTCAACGAGCAAATTCAGTCACCAGAACAGCGATGCTTGCTACCAACCAGTGGACACACCGATAGCATCATTTCAGGGCAAGCAGCACAACGTTAGCGCAAATATTGCAACGGCCCTCACAACAGAGACAGTCAACAAGCAAATTCAGTACACCAGAACAACGACGCGTGCTACCAACCATTGGACACGCCGATAGTCGCCACAGCGCGCACAAGCAAGCGTGCCCGACCGAGGCGTCTCGGCAACGCGACACCTCTGCATCCACGACGTCGACGTGCCGTTGTCATGACACCATCGGACGCGGTCCGTGTCTCCAGTGGCCTGTGCTGTCACTTAAAGACCAACAGCCACATGCCCTCACCACTCTCCAAGGAGTTCACGCATACTGGCGTTGACCACGCCCACAGACTTCCCGGAACACACAAACAAGTATACTCCTCCATGAAAAGATCACCTGGCCGCTGAGTGCCAGCCTAGGAGCTTCCGTGGGCACCGACTTGTGGGGGCAAACACGGCGAGCGTACCTGGAAGGGCACAAATTGCCCGCTCGCAACGGAAGACCGCGCACCTCAAACCACCGCCCAACCTCGAGATCATCATGACGTACGGCCCGCACTATATGCCGGGCCAGTTGCCCGGGACACAAACAACAGTCCGACGGCCCGCTGTTTCTTTGCGGCCACTGCGACGACAANCTTCCCGGAACACACAAACAAGTATACTCCTCCATGAAAAGATCACCTGGCCGCTGAGTGCCAGCCTAGGAGCTTCCGTGGGCACCGACTTGTGGGGGCAAACACGGCGAGCGTACCTGGAAGGGCACAAATTGCCCGCTCGCAACGGAAGACCGCGCACCTCAAACCACCGCCCAACCTCGAGATCATCATGACGTACGGCCCGCACTATATGCCGGGCCAGTTGCCCGGGACACAAACAACAGTCCGACGGCCCGCTGTTTCTTTGCGGCCACTGCGACGACAAGTTTTGGCGTGTCCAAGGCCCCACCCAACGTGTCCAAGCGAAAGTCTCGCGACGGCGACTGCGCATCACAGCAGTTCCAGAATGTGCCTAACACAGATGATCTGGATAGATTCGGGTGATTGTCAATTGCAATGATGGCTTTGGTTGAGGTGTTGTTCTTCATTGTATGTCCACAGACGCATTCTCACAGCACTTCAGGCAGCAGCTGCATGCCCCGAGCTTGTGTACCATGCACCATCGTGTTATTATTGTACAGACAGCTATCTATTCAGACAGCAGTACGCTGTAGTCGACAAACATTCATGTTGGTTAAATGCGGGGGGACGGTGATGCTGCTGCTCTATGTAGTCGAATTGTAGTGTGTGGGCGTGTAGTTCAGTTGTGAGCACGCAAACGTGCTGCAGGGATTGTAGGTAGGTGTACCTCCTCGGGCTTGTATACCCTTTTCTTGCTAATAGTGTGTTGTGTGTTTCTAAGGCGGTTTTTTACGGTTTGAAAAACTCCAGTGGAAAAATTGAAATTTTCAATTCCCAGATCCAACTCGGAAAATCTCACTCAAAAATAGAGCAGCCTTCTAACGGATCGACGGAATTGGAAGGGCTAAAAACAGGGGGGGGGGGTTACAGTTGCACCCCCGCCAGACGACGCAACATCATGCCGCTAGTCAAACCACGCAACATCATGCCGCTAGTGGAACCACTGCTGCTGCAAGGCGCGAACAACTACTACTACTCCAATGCGCTGCTGCGGTCGATACTCGGTTGCGACAAGGCGACAGCCAGAAACGTGAACATCCTTCAGAACGCGGCCATCTCGTACGCGTGCTCCGTGATCAAGCGCGCGAACGGCACAGCATCCCAACAGGATACCGAGCGTGCTGTGTGTGCGCCGGCGACCATCCTCCTCTTGGATCTATCTGGTGCAAAGCCGCCTACGCGACTGACAGCACTGTTGCTTCCAACAGATCGTCGCCGGTCCCCATATCGGGCGCACCGCGCTGACAACAAAGCACCGGGTCTGCGAGTATGAGGCGCTGTGCTGGCTGTGCTGTGCTGTGCTGCTTTGTGGTGCGCTTTTGTGCACTGTCGAGTGCTTCTAGCGAACAAAGCAGGTAGGTGTGGTGGGGGGTCTGTGTGATGCACCCCCCCCCCTAGGTTTGGATTTCCAACTAGCTTTTTCAACGCGACTCGATATTTCTGAAATTTCCAACTGCGCAGAGCGTTTAAACTTGTTTTTGGCTCGAGTTGAAAATTGTATTATCAAAAAAATCGATTTTCCAAACCGTAAGAAGCTCTGTTCGGCTGGGAATTGAAAATTTGAATTTTTCAACTGGAATCCTTCACACCGCAAGAAACGGCCTAAGACCTTCTGATGGCTCTAGCATTGTTGTGACCACGGACCGAGTCTTTGCTAGATTTTGGGGTACACTGCTGTAGCATCTGAAGAAAACAACAACACAACACGCCGACCACGACATAGCACACGCCTCATATCTGCCTGCCCCAATTACTACTGTGGCCTGCTTCGGATCCTGAATGTACCTGAACAAACCATCGTCCTTCCCCGTGATGGTACCGTTTACGACAGCAGCACGCATCCCGTGCAATCCCAAGGCACGCTCTCTTCTTGCAGCAGTGCCATCATCAACATGTATGTAAGAAACTTGAAGGCCCCACCGCCCGTTTCTCCACTGACCCCACGTGACGTAAACTTCACAGTCAACAACTGTGACAACACAGCAGACGTACCTGAAAGGAATAGATCTCCGAAATACCTCTTGGCTGCGGCAGCCTCACGCTATCTTGCTTGTTTGGGACAGACCAGCAAGTGCAACAACCATGCTACTCATCTTGTTAGATTTCAGGAACTTACGCTGACTCCATGCTGCTGCTCTCTGATTGGCCAACTAGTATTTCACCTTCCGCTCTCCACAAAACTCAGATTTCAACGCCTCTGTCTCGGCAAACTTCTGCTTTTTTTTCGATTCGATAAGACATCGATCACGCGGAGCCCCCACAAGCTCCTAAAACCTATGGGAGAGGCCGTTATTCGTCATTAGCTCCGGCTGTGGTGCGATTCCGAATGTGGCCAACCTTCTATGGCAACGTTAGACATGTCTCTACAGCGTGGTACCATCAAAAAGTTGGGCGGGGTCGTTTTTCGAGCGCGTCTAGAGCTTTACAGGTCAAATTGCGGGGGAACTTGCCGGAGATATGTATCCAACAAATTTGGAGGTAGACGTGTCGGGCGTGTTAAGTCAACATATGGGCGATAGAGTGCGTCACTGGAACGCCCTCGCAGTGGCGATCCCAAATATTTCCAACCCCTCAATGCAACATATGCCTATGGTATCCACTCTGGCGAAGTTTCGAGCGAGTTTGTCAACTCCTTCGCCCGCGTCCAGCAGCGTGAATTTTGGTGCTGAGGCTGCGGAACGGGCTTGAAGCAGCAGCTCTCTCACTGTTGACAGCACGGCATTTGCCAGGTTTTGAGCGAAACCAGGCCCAATCAAATGTCTGCGCGTGTAGAACACAACATGCTTGAGGTGTCCTGCAGGTTTCATGGCACTTGGCGATCTGTGTGAGGAGCACCAGCAGTGACAAAGATGTGCACCAGATGATGCGCTGGAGCAACTCATAATGGGGGCTTACGCGGGGTACCATCGAGTTTCGCGGAGCCCCTTTGTCATTATTTTTTTCTCTTTGTGGGACTTGCAACCCGGGTGTTTGGCTGTTGGGGAAGGCGAACGAGCAACGCATGCATAGACCGAGTCCGAGACAGCGAGACAGCGCAAAAGGAAGTGCGTGGACGACCAAACCAGCGCGAAATGCCTCGCCGAAAGAGGAAGGGGTTCACGGGGGCTGTTCCGCTCAGTTTCGTTGCGATACCGGCTGTTGGAGCTTTGGCTTATGCCCTGAGGAGTGGTGCGGCTCCTTCATGTGCACTCTTGCATGCACCTAGCAGGAGCAGCATGATTGACTCTCAACTTCTGTCTTCACGCAGATTTGGAGAGAGAGCTCGTGTAATGGATGAGTACCCCTCTGTTGGGAGCCGACGGCATCGCAGACACCGAGATGGGTCGGCAGCGCAGGTGTGTTTGTTGAATCTGTAAACATCAGGGAGGTTGCTCCAGGTGCAGCCATCGCAGTGATGAGCTTCGTATGGGTTGCAGCACATCACGAGATCACGAGGCTAATTTGGGGCGTGGCGGGATGCCGTGCTACTGATGCCTTGTAGGGACAGTGTGTGGTGGAGACATCCTCCAGGATCATCCGTCCGCAGCAAAACAATACATGAACACATGAACACATAGTGCGGACTAACCCCGTTGGAATGTAACGTGGGTACAGTATTCAACAGGGATTTCGTCTAATACTGCGGCTTCACACACCGAAAACACGCGGTATACATTTCAAGAAGTGAAGAGGTCCCATCACTCATTTCTAGCCTTGTTATTGCGGTGGTGGATGCCTCTTTCTTTCCTCAGCAGCAGCAAAGAAAGACTGGCCGCTATTTTATGATCGAGTTCGTCTACATACAGCAGTGGTGCACCTAGCTACTGCTGTATTAAGGGTACCCGGACAACCTCCTGCTATGTTGCCTCATTTCGAAAACAAACGCAAGAGCGCCAGAAAATGCACTAGAGACACATAAGACCAGTCAGAAGGCATCGCAAAAAAAACAAGTCCAAAATTCTGGCACAGGGCAGCAGTAGAGACCGCTCAAAACGTGCTTTTCGCGCGTTTACCTCCACACGCATCCTTTGAAACCAAGATAAAAATACACACCAGTCTAAATTCAAGTCAAAAGAGCCCAAACGGAAGGCGCTCAAATAAGGCCGGTGTTGCTAGGAACCTGGTCCGTTGTACCAATTTCACTAGAGGACACCCTATAGCAGCGGGGGGGGGTGTTGGCGCGCTCAAAACTTCTTCTGTGGTGGTGGTATCGAGTGTCGTTGTAGTGGCCCACAATCTCCGCAAATCTCCGCAAGTTAGATCGACACCCAGTGTCTTGTACTGCTTGTGCTCGCCGCCACTGAACCCAATCTTCTGAACTGCAGGTTTACAGCAGTAGCTGATGCCACCAGCTACTGCTGACAACCCGCAGTTGAGGGGTTTGCGGTCCGTGGTGGTGAGCACCGCTGTGACAAGTGTTGGGTTCCGCTTGGTTCCGGCGCAGATTTCGGACCGTTTTCAGAGGCTGCTGCGACCTTCGATATTTCAGCCCCAGTAGTATACCTGAACGTGCCAGCACGCACGACGCCTCTTGATGATATCCTCTACTGATACTAGCACAACGGACCAGGTTCCTCCGGCGGGAAGGTTGTTTTCTTTCTTTGTACTGTTATAAAGTATGAGAAAAGAGCCAGCGTCAAAATCCCTTGTCTGGTTACCCTTAACGACACATTGTAAAACACCCCTTTGAGAATGCCCTGGGTCGGTTATGAGCAAAGGTCCCTGAAGTGGTGAATAACCGTTCACCGACGGGGGTAATTTCGCTCTTATTGCAATGTGGCAAGAAATGGCCAAGCGTGGCTGACATTAGTCAGCCTTGCTAGGGTGAAAGGTGAGAGTGAGCTTTAGGGGCTCGCTTCCACCCTCCGGCTGGTCACAGCAGACGGAGGGTCGTCTCGTTGTAAAGATCTTCAGACCTCGACAACGTCGTTCCTGGGGTCACGGATCTATACGGTTGTATGTGCGTCCCTACTACTGGGAATACGTAGTCTATATCCTAGTTTCCACATTGCCCCCCTTTTTGTTCGCCGAAAATCCATCTTTGTGAAAATATGTTTTTTGGCGCTTATTCTCAGGTGAATGAGGGAATGCAAGTGGAATTGGGTTTAGGTTACTCCTAGTTGTATGACACAGCTCGTGAATATGATTGTTTCCCCCTCCTCATCGCTGCCGTGTTGAGAAAACACGCGTTACGTTACAACGAGGGGATCCGCACATACCCGAGACTCATGCGTGATAGATTGTTCCGGAGTCACTATGTTGTAATTGTAAGTAACTCGACGACACCTCTTTGATTGGTGATTGTCCTCGTGTTTTTGGTGATGCTGGAGACGTGGTTGCCTTGTTCGATGGCTTCCTCGAGGGCATTGACCCGCGCTGTCAGCAATTCGTTCTGGTTGCTGAACTGGTTTCCGGTCGGTGCGTCATGGAAGATACAGCAAGGGAGGTATCGTTGGACGGAATCGGTGATTCTTGCAACCGATTAGCTTCGTGTTTTCGAGCTCATCCTTTGGATTCCATGAATGTTTCGTTGGCATCTTCCCGATTCATCTCAGTGCGCATGTGTGGGTCGAGGCCGTTCTCGAACGATGCGGCCATAGCTTTGTTGAAGACATGTTCGTGAGGTGTTTTGTTTGGTGGAACTGTGCGTTCAGCTTCTGCCAGCAGACGTGAGTATGCTCTGGACACTCCAAGTGCGAACGCATCAATAGATTCATCGGACTGGGCCTCCAGGGTCATGACACCCCGAGCAAGTAACGCGATTCTGTTGTTGGGTGCAAATAGCGTGGTCAGGGCAGTGACCCATTCACGCCATGTGTTTGGCGGCCTGCGTGTTACAGGTTCTCCTCTGGCACGAAGGGTGGCTAACATGGGTTCAGGCCTCCATTCTATTGCTGAACTGAGTACGAGGTTGAGGCTCTGTGCTGCTGTACCTTGCGTTACGAGAGGAAGGTGTTTGATAGCACTATGGTCGATTTCTCGCTGAGGTACGTTATCCTGAGAAAGAAGGCTGATACGCGAACGATGAAGCGCCGTCATTTCAGGAATGTCCTCGTCTGCTTTACCTTCGATTTTGATCGAGGCANACATGGGTTCAGGCCTCCATTCTATTGCTGAACTGAGTACGAGGTTGAGGCTCTGTGCTGCTGTACCTTGCGTTACGAGAGGAAGGTGTTTGATAGCACTATGGTCGATTTCTCGCTGAGGTACGTTATCCTGAGAAAGAAGGCTGATACGCGAACGATGAAGCGCCGTCATTTCAGGAATGTCCTCGTCTGCTTTACCTTCGATTTTGATCGAGGCAGGCAGATCCGTAGCTTTGAGCGTGAAACGTTTCGTGCTGGCGTGCGTCTGGTCTACCGGGTTGTACTGCTGCAGGTCAAGGTTTGGGTTGACCGTGGTGCTGTTCGGTGTGCCAGGGTGTTGCATTGCCCCTGTGTTGTTCGGGGTGTTTGCCAACAGCGAGATAGAATCCGTGATCTGCATGTTCCGAGATTGCGGAGTACTACTACTGTTGGTGTCGCTGACAGCGGCATGGCGAGCAGTGAGGTTTTCGTGGGCTAACTCATAACTAAGACGGCGAGGTTTCACCTGGGCGATGACGGGGTTGGGGATGGAGGTTCCCAGCGCTAGCTGGAGCACAAAGCCGGGTGGGTCGGTTTTCGTCTTGACCGCATGTTTGAGCGCGCCCACAACAACCGCTCGAGAGCACTGCCCGGGATCAGGCGCCCGCCCCCAGGACGTTGCCCCCCGCAATCTAGACTTACGTGGGTTGACGCTGTTAGCAAAGCGCTGTAAAACACGCCACCCCAAATATAGCCCCCATAGTATGCGCTACCAAAGACGCGTGACGCATGGATGCGTGGAGTGAGGATTGCTTACGGAAACCTCACAGGTTGAGTGATGTAGGAGATTGCCGGACACATAGACGCTTTGAGTGAGGATAGATAGCTGCAAACTGAAACCTCACGGGTGATTTGTGTTGGAGAGTGCGAGACACCTAGACGTGTTGAGTGAGGGTAGCTGCATACTGAAACCTCACAGATGC